GAGCTGGGGATGCTCAGCTATCTTCCAGGATGTGGTGATGGTGGTTCAGCCCTATTCATAGTTTTAAGACAAGTTCCTGTTTTGTGGGGTTGCAGCCCAGACAAATACTCCTTCTTGGGATGGCTTCCCGACTGTTTTAGAGCTGTGAACCAGAGTAATGCCATTTTGTATATCAAATTTCATACTACTATAAACTATTTTAAAGCCTGAGACCTAGGGAAGCCAGTGATGTATTAGTCCAAGGTGGAAGAAAATTAAAGAAATGTACCAGCTCAGGCAGCGAGGCAGGAGAGAAAAAGAGGGAAAAGTTCTTCTTTCACCACCTCTTGTTCTATGCAGGCTCTCGGAAGACGGAATAATGTACCTCGACAGTGGGAAGAGAAACCTACTTTATTGAGTCTATTTATTCAAATGCTAATCTCATTCAGAAACAGCTTCATAGGGACACCAGAAATACCCTTTACTCTGGGCTCCTCTTGGCCACTCCAGCTGACACACAGATCAACCATCATAGTCCACGGCCCGTGCTATGGGTGCCCTGCGCATATCTCCTGCCTCACATCCACCTGCTAGCACGGGTGTCTTTACCTCTGTCTCCCCGTCCAAACTGGAGAAAGCCTCTCTGTGCTTGAGCACAACAGGCCAGAAGCCCCAAAGAGTTAACACCCACAGGAGCAGCCCTCAACTTAGATCTCTTGGGAGTTGATGTAGCCAGTCTTAGCTTTCTCTCCACTCAGGTGGGATAATTCTGAAACCATCCTTTACTACCTACCCTCCTACCCATGCATTGGTTTTCTATACTTTCGGTTATTTATTGCTGTGTAACAAGCCACCCACTAAATAAACCAACTGGTAGGGTAGAATGACAGTGACATTTATTATGCTCATAAATCTGTGATGGGCACAGACTCAGGAAGCACACCCTGTCTCTGTTCTGTTGGCATCAGGTGGGGCAAAACCAAGGCTGACCGAGTCCCCCTCACTCCCCTGCTGCTGCCTAGACAGGGAAGACTTGGGGGTGGGTGTGGGAAGAATGGGGCTCCTCGGGGACTGTCCTGTCGGGCTTTACACAGGGGCCTCCAGCGGGAAGCTTCTGGGCACGTGGGCACCTTCCAGGTCAGTTCCGGGCTCTGAAGGCCTGTGTCCCCAAAGAGCATGACAACAAAAGTCATGTAGCATCTTTAAGTTCTAAATGCTCTTTTTATTTTTTTTAATTTGAAAATATAAAGAGGACCAAATATTTTTGCTACGTAGATACCTTACAATGCTCAAGTCAGGGTTTTAGTGGCCCACCGATTCATGAGAGGATAAAACAAATTCACACACACACACACACACACACACCATGGAGCACCATTCAGCCACAGAAAGGAATTAAACATTATCTTGTGCAGTGACTTGGATGTACTTGGAGCAGGTCTTTATCTCTCAATTTACACTCAAATGCTTCCTATAAGGTTAGGTGTTCCTGAAAGCCAAGTTTAAAAAAAAACAAAAAAAACACCTCTCAAATTTATTTCTCCAGAGTTTCATGGTTATGGTCAAAAGTGCTCCTGGGATAACTTCACCAGCACATATCAACAACACATATTTCAGAACTGCACTCATCATCTTACTCTCACAGCAACAGAACAACGCAGCCCCTTTTCTCGTGCTCCCCACATGAGGGAATGGCTGGGTCACTCACTCACTGCGAGTGAACACCCTGAGCTTTATTCTGGAATCTCCCTTCTCTCTCCACCTTCTATGTTCTCACTCTCCTTGGTCACTTGAGACACTGAGATTGTCTAGACACTGGCCTGGGTCTTCAGTCACTGGCCAATCGTATTCCTCATAGCAGCCCATATCAGCTTCTTGAATTGTAAAAGTGACCCTTGAATTGTAAAAAAAGTGACCCTTGTAAAAAAAAGTGACCCTTGAATTGTAAAAGTGACCCTTCCCTTAGCCATGTGAAATCCTTCAATGAATACAAACCAATGTTTTAATTCACATCCATCTGTGGATAAAGTCTAAACCAGTTGTGACCCCTTTGTAATAATGAAAATACATCCTGCATATCAGATATTTACATTACGATTCATAATAGTAGCAAAATTATAATTATGAAGTAGCAACGAAAATAATTTTATGGTTGGGGGTCACCACCAATATGAGGAACTGTATTAAAGGGTCATGGCATTAGGAAGCCTTAGGAAAGTTGAGAACCACTGGTCTAAACTCTTTAGTATAATTTTAATAATTATTACATGTTTAATATTTCCATTGGCTATTTCTCAGCAGGAACCAATCTCTATCTTGTTCATTTCTGCCTGCCTGAATACACACACACACTCACTCACTCATATATCTGTAAGGGCTGTCTGGGAAGTATCTAGCCATTGTTAATACTAGTTTTCATACCACATGCCTGGATACTTTGCTGATAGTCCTCGTATATTTGTTTAATGAGTTAATTAAAAAATAATATTTGAAACCCCCCGAGATGGTCTACAAAAGAACAAAACACCTAAAATTGTGCCTCTGAAATTACCCATAACTGAAGGGTGGGTGAATGGAGGAGTCACTTGCTAGAGGACTGGGGCACTGGAGGTTAAGTGGAGAGACCTTCATGACAAAGAGTCACAGAGATGGACACTGGGCAGAGCCCAAGCTAACTAGCCATTCTCTGCATTAACCTGGAGTTGCTACTCAGCCACTTACGGCTCTAAATGTTCTTATCTTCAGATCTGGAAAGTAACAATTTTAGTAACATTTCAGTCTAAAAGTCAAAGAAAATTACATAGGCGATAGTACTTTTAAAAAATATAATTCATATAGTTGCATAATAACACAAGTATCTTATAATTAATATAATGAGCCTCAGCAGTCTCAGTAACAAGGTGAACAACAGCATTAGTTCACAAGGTGAACACACCTGGCTTACTCATCTACTTACGCTACAGTTTCATGCTCAGCAGTGGAAGAGCAGTGTCGGGAAGGCCATAGTCACAACTCATGATGAAAACCTCAGACCCTTGCAAAGTGAAACCCCCTCACCAAAGCACGTCGTGGTCAGTCCGCATGGTTCTGTGGGTTGACTGGGCATGTTGTGTGGTCCTCCTGCTCCCTGCCATAGAGCTGGGATCTCTGGAGCTGCTGGGTCTCTCTAGGAGCTAGGAGAGCTGGGAAGTGGCCTTTCTCCACCTGCTTCTCATCTAATTCCAGCTTTGTGACCTCGAAGCTGGCTTTGAGGAGGAAGCATTCCAAAAGGACAAGCTGCAGTGTGCCAACGTCTCAACAGGTTTTGCTTGCATTGTGCTTCCTGTTGGCCCGAGGAGTTACCTGGCCAACCATGCCCTACACAGGAGCACAGTGGAGGGCTCAGTGATGGCTATCAACCGTCTGCCACAGCAGGGTGGAGGCAGCAGTCTGCTGAGCACACCAGAGGTTAGAAGCGTGAGGGCTGGAGCTGAACCACCTGTGCTAAGATCCTGTATCTTTATGGGCAAGGTTTCACCTTTTCTAAGCCTGTGTTCCCGTCTGGTAAATGGTGAGGCTTAAAGAGACAGTCAGTGCAAATCAATAGAATAGGATGCGGAACAGAGTTTGGAATGTTTACATTTAAACAGCCCAAGTGCTCATCAACCCAGGAATGGATTAACAAACTGTGGTACATGCACACCATGGAGTACTATTCAGCCACAAGATGATGGAGACTTTATCATCTTTTGTATTATCCTGGATGGAGCTGAAACACATTGTCCCAGTAAAGTATTACAAGAATGGAAAAGCAAATACGCAATACTAATATGCAGCCAGTAGATGATTTAATACATGCCCACGTAAGAGAAAAACTCAATTCGATTCAAATTGAGGAGAGAGGTAAGGGGAGAGAGGTGAAGGGGCAGGAGGACGTGGAGACGGAGGAGGGAGGGGGATGGGTGCGCTCGCACCTGACCCGCACGGTGAAAGAGTGTACTTGACACATCTCAGGGTGTGGGGCGCAACTACCTCACCAATGCAAACAATGTAACCTAATCGTCTTACCCTCATATTAATCTGAAATTAAAAGTAAAATACCATTGACAGCAGCACCAAAAATCAATCTCACAAAAGATAATGAAAAAACAAAGTTTACATGGAAAACTTCTGAAGATCACAGAAAGAAATTTTAAAGCTAAATAAAGATTATTTCTGTCTTAAAAAAGTAAATGTTCGTATTTAATATACGCTAGTTATTATTACTTTTTATTATTACTAGTGACTGGTATACTCTATTCAAGTTCTGAGTTAAAATTTATCTCACATATCAATTATCTCTACTCCACTCTATCTACTTTCTCTATTTTGAGGGAAGTTGGGTGGGAGGCTTTGACTCCTTACGTAAACTTGGCCAGAAGCCACGAGCAGCGCCGGGCTCACATCTGCCCTTGATTGCAGGTTCCGGAGCGTGGTCTACCCTTTCAAATCAAAGCTCACCCTGGAGACGGCGTGTGTGGTTCTCGGGATCATCTGGGTCCTGGCCGTGGCCATCATGTCTCCGTCTGCGGTGATGCTACACGTGCAGGAGGCGAAGCTCTACCGAGTGAGGCTCGACGCGCACAACGGGACGGGCCCGGTGCACTGGTGCCGGGAAGCCTGGCCGCGCCCGGCCATGCGCAGGGTCTACACCACCGTGCTGCTCGCCAGCGTCTACCTGGCCCCGCTGCTGCTCATCGTGGCGCTGTACGGAGCCATGGGGGTCGCGCTGTCCAGGCCCGCGCCGCAGGCCCAGGCCCGGGAGCGGCGGCCCGCGGCGTCCAGGCAGAAGCGGAGGGCGCTGAAGATGCTCCTGGTGGTGGCGCTGCTCTTCGTGCTCTCCTGGCTGCCGCTGTGGACCCTGATGATGCTGTCGGACTACGCCGAGCTGTCCCCGCGCGCGCTGCGGCTCATCAACGTCTACGTGTACCCGGTCGCGCACTGGCTGGCCTTCGGCAACAGCAGCGTCAACCCCATCGTCTACGGCTTCTTCAACGCCAACTTCCGCCGCGGCTTCCGCGACGCCGTCCGGCTGCGGCTCTGCGGGCGGCGGGCGAGGCCGCGGGAAGCGCGCCCCCTGGGGGCGACAGGCGGCGTGGCCGCGGGCGCCGGGCGGCGGAACCCACGCCGAGATTTGCTTCATGGGACAAGCGCGGAAACCCCCAGCCAGGACTTAGAGATGGAGGAATTGAGGGAAGCCACCAACAGCGGGGAGACTTAACAAAAGCCGATGTGAACGTCCTAACCCTACTGTGCATTACATGCCTAATACTGCTGCTTTCTGTGGCTTCGTATTTCAATTACTTCTAAAAATGTTGTCAAGGAAACATTTTCAGAAAGCACTCTCTGGCCAAAAAAAGAAAAAAAAAAAAGGCAAACTAAAATGGTTTTATGATGATACCCAATCTAATGGCTGATATAAAATATGCACAGCGATCCCGCATGTTTGCCTGAATAAATCCATTTCTGGGGTTCTCAAAGCCTCGCCTTTCCCAATTCAAACACTTCCTATGCGTCAAGTCAAGCCCGTGTGTGTATTTTTTCCCTGCAAATGGTGACAGATGAGCAGTGCTTTGCATGTGACACTTTGTCAATTCTCTCTTTGACTTTGGATTTGAAATTTTAGACTCCAGAGTCATTAATCTGCTTGTGTTTTTAAAATGTACTTGGTTTTTAAAGAATTGCATTCCACATGAAGTTCACGGCCGCTGGTCTTCTCATCTTTGGTGTATCTGGGCTGACCTAGAAGCGGGATGCTGCGGGGCTCCGGCGCTGACGCCACAGGTGGCCTCCGCTCCTGTGACTTCCAGCTGCCGCTGCAGCAAAACAGGACACACATTTCTTTGTCTTTACAAGCTGATTTTTTAAAGATGAGCAAGTTAGGAGCGTCATAATATTGTTCTATATGTGATATTGTTGACTTTTTAACATTTTTACAAATGAAGTTCATGCCCTGGCTGACCCCACATTTGTACAGAGCCTATATAGGACCCTATCTGATCCCCTTTTCTAACAGAATATCTGATGTGGAGGAACAAACCCTCTAATAATTCAGCAGTAGGCAGAGAAACGGCACCTTTCTTTTGAAGTGTTTAATCAGAGTTATTTAACAATCATTGTAAGACTCCCTTCCATAAAGTGTATGCAGAGCGAGGACAATTATTTCAAATTTCCTACTGAGCCCAGTGGCTAAATCCAGCATCCTGGGCTGGGTGGGACTGTTGTTAAGAAATCAGCAGGCCTGGATTCAGCTATGTTAAAATTATATAATGATGAAAGCTGTAATGCCAGCTTTTATCTTAGGGTAAAGTAAGTCCCTAGAAAACTGGGAATTAGAATGAAATAGTTTGGCAAATAGAATAAAAATAACTCTCTGTGTGTGAAACTATATTTTTCCAGCCAGTTATTGGTTTTAGCTAAAAGCTTTCACTATTGTTAAGATATGTTTTATCTCTATCAAAATTCACATTAAAATTTGTTTCTTTTTAAATTTCAGATTAATATATGTATATAAATAATTAGGATATATTTTTTGCATTTGTTAAGTAAAGTCCAAGTGGTAGTGGAGGCCTTCACCCAGGAGGTGTGCCATACACCCCGACATTGTGCCCGTTAGGTGAACGCTCACCAAACTCCCTGCCTCCCTCATTCTCTCCCTCTCCCTCCCTTCCTCCTTTCCCTCTCCAGCTACTTGAATTTAATTGCTTTTTATTTCTTGTGTGGGTGTGTAGTTGTTCATCTACTAATTTCATATTAGTATTGAGTACATTAGATGCTTGCTTTTTCATTCTTGTGATACTTAAGAGGATGTTCTCCAAATCCTTCCAGGTAAATACAAAAGCTGCAAAGTCTCCATAGTTTTTATGGCTTAATCGGACTCTATGGTATACATATCCCACAGTTTGTTAATCCATTCCTGGGTTGATGGACTCTTGGGTTGATTCCACATCTTGTGATTGTGAATTGAGCTGCAATAAATATGGCACTGTTGGGAGTTGGGGATTACTTTGGAGGTATTTGGCTCTGGAAGGCACCACTGTCATGAATAGATCAATGCCATCCCATGGGAGTGAGTCCTCCCCCCTCACTGGAGTGGACAGCCACCACAACGCAGGCTGTCACAAAGTGGGCTGTGTCTTGTGCTCCACATACCCTGCCCTCCCCCTCACTTTTCAGGTTCTCTGACACGTTGTGAGGAGCTG